CCCGAGGGGATAAGGCCACCCCCTCGGGCTCCTTCCCCCTCGCCTCTGTCCACTCACCTTCCCACTTCCTCTCCCCCTCTGCCTAGCCCAGATCCCCTCCTCCTCGTCGCTCACTCGAGGCCCCTGTCGCCGCCCGTCGTCGCCCGCGCACTCCAGCGCCACCCCGGGCTGTGCTAGGGCGTCTAGAAGCTGCACCGGCCTCGTCCTCATCCTCTCGCCCAATAGCAGGAGCCGGGAAGGCTCCACGTCATCGGCTTCGAGCTGGCCCCCTCGTCGGGCGCCGCCGTCCGCCACGGTCGCTCCGGTCGTCCTTTGCGCTACTAAGCCGTCGAAGGCCATCGTGTGCCCCACGGTGAGCCCCGCCACTTCCTCTTTCTCCTCTCCCCTCAGCGCACGTCGTAGCCGCTATCCGCACCCTGGAGCCCGCTTCGCGCTCCCTGACTGCACCCCTTGCCTCGCTCGGCCGTGCCTGGCTACTCACCCGTGCGCCACTCCACCTGCGAGCGCACCCGCGCCCCGGCGCAATGCCCCGTGCTTGCTCCTGCCCGACGCTGCAGCTGCTCTCTCCCGTCTCTGGACGCGCCCGCGCCCCGGCTCTGCCCGGCCGCTCCTCCCGCGAGGCCATGGTCGTCCGCCCCCCTACCTCGAGCTGCTGCTGTTGCGTGCTCTCGTTGTTGTTGTGCTGCCTTGCGCTCCCTCCCGCTGCCCTGCGCCCTCGCCCGCCGCAGCCTGCCGCCGCTTCCTGGCCGCCATGCCCGCCGCTACCTCATGTTCCCCTCTCGCGCGCATTCCTCGCCGCCCACTGCCGCTACTCCGCTCGACGCCGCCGCTCCCTGCAGCCCGCCTCCAACAGCCCCACGGCCACCATCCGGTGCACCTCATCGCGCTGCGTCTGACGAGCCCACCCACAGCTCCAGCCGTCATCGGAGATGGCCGGCCGGCGAGCAACGCCGCCCTCTGTACCCGCCACCGAGCACCGGTGGTTTAAGACCACCGCCCTGGTCGCTGACCCGTGGGCCCACGTGGCAGCTAATTAGATTTGGTACTAATCCCCCACTAACCCACTGACACCTCGGCCCCAGGACACTAATTAAATCTCTTAGTTTTTAATTAAATTGGTTTTAGGACCGGGGTCACTGACAGGAAGGTCCCACTGGACCTGCTGACCGGTCAAATGTTGACTAGTCAACTGCTGCATCAGCAGTTGACTGGCCCCACCTGTCAGCAACTGGTGCACTGATACGTCCATTTTGCATCATGTCTTCTACTGTTATTTATAATGTTTTTATGCTTAATAATGCTTTTTGAAGTAATTTTAATGCCTTTTCTCTCATAATATGCAAGGTTTACACAAAGAGAGAGAATGTCAGCAGCTGGAATTCTGGACCTGGAAAATCTAGGTCAAAGTTACCTATTCTGCAATCTTTAAGTGAGCTGAAAATTTACGGAGAATTGTTTTGAAATATATAAAAAATACTGGAGAAAATAACTACTGAAGGGGGCC